CCGGCGGAGCGGAGCTCGGTTCGGGCCGCTCGGAGTACGTGCGCGGATCCGACGGTCGGCGGGGGAGAATTCCGGTGAGTCAGGCCCAGGCGGCGGTTTTCCTGGCGGCGATCGGCGATGCGCCCGCACGAAAGCGCGGAATATTCGCGCGGCTCGGAAGCGGCGCGTCGCGCGCGGAGCGAACGAGAGGCGGAGAAAGAAGGCCGAGCGGCGAGGAGGAAGAGAGGCGAGACGTCGCCCGCGGGTATGCGGCCGCCGCTGCTTGCTATGCGGGAAAGGCCCTTGAAATGATCATCGATGCCGTGCCCGGCGACTTAACGAGCCTACGTAAATACGTGAAAAAATTCTGCTTCCTCCCGTCCTATCGCCGTGGGAGAAGAACCGCTGCCCGGCGGCCTTTTAACTCACTGTTCTATGACTTTTTAGCTCTCGCCGCCGCTGTAATCTTCCTCTCTCTCTCTCTCTCTCTCTCCTCTCTCGGGAAAAAAACGAGAATCAATCGACGAGAGATTTTTCGACTTGGTAATACTTCCGCAGTGTTTTGCATAATCGCGCGCGCGTAAAGTTTCCTCGTTGAAGAAAAAGTGAAAAAATGACGGAGCGAAGCAGTGCGCGGCAAAAAGCGAGAGAGAGAGAGAGAGATATCTCATTACAGATTTTGGCGACATTAATCAGCGAAGCACCCACCCAACGATCTTTTTCCTCGCGCTCAACAATATTATACGCTCAGGGTCTCGCCTTTCATGATGTTTCTTCATGCGCAGTACTCCGCTTGTCTCTCTCTCTCTCTCTCTCTCTCTCTCTCTTTCTCTCTCTCTATTTTTTGGGGGCCTCTTTTTTCTTCTTCTCTCGGACTCCCTTCCGCAAGTGAAGAGAGAGAGAGAGAGAGAGAGGAGGGGAGCAGACAGGTAGCTGCCGGGAGGACGCCCACAAACCTGTTTCTCGCTTGGCTCGTCCTACCTGTTGAAAAGGGCCCCTCGCTCGTATAAGCAGAGAGAGAGAGAGAGAGAGAGAGAGAGAGAAAGACTGCACCCAAGGATTATTCACTGGCAACGTCTTTTATGCGCGCGCGAGAGCTCCTTGGGAAAATCTGGGGCCCCCGAGCTCCCCTTCGCGCGTCTTCTCGGGGGTTGTTGCTGCGGCCCAGATGACGAAAATATTGGAGATGCCGCGGCCAGATACCCACGCCATGGGAAAAAATGGAGACTCGCGACCGTTGCCATTGTCGCAGTCGGTCTCCCCCTGACTTTTCTCCAACGTCTTCGAGGGGCTCTCCTTCGCGAGTCATCTGCGTCCGATTTATCGCGCAAAGTCGCGTGAGAATGGCGGTTGCGCAAGTGCACATCCAGAGCGCTGCCTCGTTTCCGGCCAATAATCGATTGATATGTCCCGCGGTTAATGGCTCGATTCACTGTAGCCGCGCTCCCCCGTCACGGACTATCTCCCGCGGCCGTCCAGAATCTCAACGCGCTTTTCCTCTCTCTCCGCGAATACTCGTTCTGCCGCCGTGCGATCGCAGCTCGACGCCGCGACGAAGGCGCGTTTCGTAAATTTTTCCGCTCCAACTGTGCACGATGCTTCTCGTTCATTATGAGCCCCGCTCATTATGTAATCTATATGTCGCTTAATCCATTTCCGTATCGATAAGCCGCGGCATTGCCATGTAGATAAAAAAAATGTTTGATCAAGTAAGATACAGGCGCTCGCGGTGTATCGACGGTTCAGCCGATTCGTTTGTTCTACGTACCGCTCAACTGAAATTCCACTAGGCTGAATTATTATTTATCGCACGATTACGAAATATTGTCGATTCTGCGCGACGCCGACGCTCGATGTTTCGAGCGATACTGCGCACATCAATTATTGACTCAACGGAGTGGTTCGAGTAACGCACACCTGGGATCTTCTCCGCGCGTCGCCAAAATAAACACCTCGCCTCGATTACACTTTTTGACCAATTGCGCAATTGGCCGAGCTGCGGGCCGAGCAGCTCTTGTTCGGCGGCGAGGCAAAATCGTTGCTCGCCGTACGTTTCAGGCGATAAACGAGCGATTCGTGCCAACGCGTTTCCAGTGCAACTCGCCGAGCCGAAGAAAAGGAAAAAATTTAGAAAGGTTCAATGCGATCTTTCGGATCGCGTATACCTATGCCTAAGAAAAGTAAAAAGACGCAGTGCGGCAGCGATTGGTTTTGCTCAACGATCAATTAGCCAGCAATTTTTATTGATTCTTAAATTGAACAACTGGTATATAAATTGTCGAGAGGCTATTTTCTTCTTGTCAGAATCGCGGATTTCATCAGAACTGGCAATCGACGCGGACGAGGAAAAACTCGGGAAGATTTTTTGGGACGAAAGACGCGGAGCTCTTCGGCGAGGCGACCAGTCCAGCGCGGCAAAGGTCAATGTCCAGCCGATAGTGATTCCGATAGGAATCTGCGAAGTGCGCGCAGGCGAGAGAGAGTGAGAGAGAGAGAGAGAGAGAGAGAGCGCGCGCGATCGACGCGAGGCGAGTCGAGGCACGGGCCAGGCGAGAGACGGCAGGTGCGCGAGTACTCTGGTTTCGAGCTTATCGACGCGCCCGTCGGCGACAAGCTTGCGCAATCGAGAGCCGAGGCGGCGAGGATGCGCGCGGGTCGCGTCAGTCGTCAAGGCGATCGAGCAGCGCGGACACGGGCTCGCGGACTTTCGTCGTACGTGCACGCGCATTCCGCGCGACATCGATCGGCTCCAGAGGGTGCCGGAGCGCGCGCTGTCGCGGAAATTCCGAGTGGCGCGCGACCAAGGCCACTGCACGTTCTCTCGGTCTCTCTCTCCGCGCGCGAGGCCAAACAAAGAACGACTCGCTCGCTCGGGCCAGTTGCCGCAATTAACGCGCGCGGCCTTAGATGCCCCGGTGCCGGGGATTCGCGCGAGGCGCCGATAAGATAAACGCCCGCGCGAAAGATGATCCAGCGGGCCTCTCGCGGCCGGCCGCGCCGCTGACAGCGCCCTCGCTGTAATCGGCGCGGATTACGGAGAGAGATCCCGTCGGCGGATAAGCATCTCCGTCGCGCGAGACGCGCGGCGCTGCGCCGAGATTCGAGAGCGTTCATCGTGTGTTTGCCGTGGGCCGCAGATAACAGCTGTTATCGCGGCCGGCCGACGACTGTTAAGTAACCCGCTCGCTCGGCGAGACCGAATTGCCGCTGGCGGCTGGAAGTGCCGATCGGTATCAGTCGGCGCGCGCACGCGCGTCCTGGTGCCGCGAAACAAAGATCGCCCGCTAGCTTCGCCGGGAGCACTTTGGCGCGCCGCCGCTGACGCCCGTTCGCCGATTCGCGCGATTTCGTGCCGTTTGTCACGCGCCGCTGCGCCCCTTTTCACGCCTCGCGCTCGCGCGCGTATTATTTCGGTGTGTCAAACTGGAAGATGTGTTCGCTGCTAACGCGCCGCGATTACTCGCACACCTGTTTTTACGCGGCGATGTGTTGATCGCGCGGCCTTTTCACGACTCCGCTAGCCTTATCAAACGCTCTTTTTTTTTCTTTTTCTCTCCTTTTTTTTTCTTGTTTGAATGAAATTTCCGAGCGATTAGCGACTCAACCGACCGACGAATATTTCAAGTTTTTCGCTCTATCACTCTCTCGTCGACTCTTGCTCGCGACTCGACGCGCCATTTTGCACTGAGATATATCACGACGTCAGTTTTTTCCATCCAGATCGTGACTCCATACCGAGAATTAGCTTTAATCATATCGGGGAATCAATTATTTCGGTAGTACATCGGAAAAAAGGCGATTTAATTAAGCCTCGGTCTTTCTCTCTCTGCGAGCGCGGCGACGAGCGTGCAATAGCCAATAATCGCGTTTAATTGATATCTGTCGAGCAATTGGCGAGGAAGATATCGGCGATCAGATTAGTCGCGAGCAACTCGCGGATTCTCGAAAAACGGTGTGTACTCTCGCGCCGAGCGATCCATGCAAACTCGATTTCATCGAGAGAGAGAATACGACACCGCCGCGCGCGACACTCGGGCACTCGGCTCGCCGTAATCAGACGAAAAGAGGATAATAACTCGCGAGGCGCGCGCTCTCTCTTTCTGCCGATACGAGGCAGGTTTCTCGTTATTACAGCGTTGCGTCAGCGCGTGCATAAGTTTACTGTATAAAGCGTGTCAAAGCGAGGCGATTACTTAGCGCGGGGGACGGAATCTCGGTAGCGCGGCGATTGGCCAATCAGTATCAATTGGTTTTCCTCCGTGTAATAGTCTCTCACTCTCTCCACGTGAGCGCACGCAACAATCGACCAAGACTTCGGTATTTCCCGAGATAGCAACAAGCTGCCGTGGCAGCGACGGCCACGCGCCAATTTCCGATCGAGGAAAACACGCCGCGCATCGATAAGCCTCGAAATTCCGCGAGGACGACGGCAAAACAAAGCAATTGATTTTGTTGATGGGATTCCCTGCGGAGTGCGAGAGAGAGTGTGCGAAGCGGAGGCGAGAAATAAAAATGAATGGCTCAACGAGCTGAACGAGGCACATGCAGTTGAGGCTTAACGAGCTCGCTCGCTCGCTCGCTCGCTCGAAAGAATCCGGCTGGCGAATTTATCCATCACATAGCGCAGCCAGCATGCAGGCAGTAGCGGCACGAACATCGTGTCGTCCCTCTCTCGCGCGCGTCACACTCGAGGAAGACGCTACAGCTACAGCGGCAGCGGCAGCAGCAGCACGAGGAAGTAAAGTGTAAGTAAGCGGCTCCTCCCCCACTCTTTCTCTCGTCTGGCGCTGCTCGAACGGTGCGCGCGCGCGCGCCCGCGCGTGTGTATGTGTGTCGTCGTTGCGCCCGGGCTATGGCTTTCGTTCGACTATTTCCGTCGGTGCCGGGCGGAGGCCCTGATTCGCCGGCTCTCGGCCGAGCGCCAATCGGCTGCTCATGCCCCACCGCTGGCTCGCGCTTCTCTCCGCCGCCGCCGCGCGCGCGATCTCGCCACCAGCAGCAGCAGCGACAGCAGCAGCAGCGGCGCAGAGCGCTGCACAGTCGCGCTCAGTCGCTCGGCAGCCGTAGCTCCGCCGCCACGTCGTTCGCATCGCGTACACGCACGTGCCCACAGTTCGCATAGTCAGTGTTGTCGCGCGCGCGCGCGCGAGCGTTCTCTCACTCGGCTCCACGACCGTGATAACACACGTACCCACACGCACGCAAGCAAGCACGAACGGATATCGAGTGGCAGCAGTCGCCGTATTAGTGTGCAAGTGCAGAGATGAACTCTGGAGTTGAGTGTGGCAGCAGCAGCAGCAGCAGCAGCAGCAGCAGCAGCAGCAAAGCTGACGGCACCAGGAGTACTTCGCGTCCTTCGTGCCTGCGAAGCTGAATCATCCAGCCTGCGAGACGACAAACGCTACGCGCACGACAAAAGGTGACGATTAGCTCTCAGAGTATGTTATCGACGCCCGGTCTGCGCGCTGCTTGTGTAAACAAACCCTGCGCTCCGGAACTGGCAGGCAGCTCTCGCTCTTGTCATCCGTCTATTTCGGTAGCCGGCCGGAATCGCGCGTCGTCGTCTCTTGTTTGCTCGCCTCGTCGTTGCCGTCGTCAGCGGTAGCAGTGGCAGCACTTCCTTATCGCGATGTGTCATTCTCACTCTCGCTTTTCCCAAAGACGCTCGCTCGCCTGCCTGCCTTTCTCGACGCGACTGCGAATTGGGTCGCGCGCTGATAAGCTCTCGCTGCTCCCGATAACGATTCGTCCAGTCACGCCAATTCGGAGCTCGGCTCGGCTCCGGTTTCGCGCGCGCGAGCGGCCCGTGCACGGTGCCCGCGAGAACCACCTGCGCCTAGGGCGAAGCGGCCTCGACGCGGTTGTGGTCGTCGCCTACGTCACGCCAGTTCGAGCGCGTACTCGCACGGCGCAGCATCTCCTCTCTTTCTCCGTCCGGCTGGAGGCCTTTGTGGCGATGAGCTCGTGCGGCGCTGCCATCTCTCGGCCAGCCTCTGCACACGTCTCTCCGCTCCGTTCGTCGCACTTTTTTGTATTTTTTCCTTTTTACTTGCTCTCTTTGCACGACTCGCGCTCGCTCGTACGCGCGCGCGCGCGCGCATCTTTGTGGCCGCGAGCGGGCGCGCTCGCTCAGTCTCTCTCTCTCTCTCTCGCTCGCTCGCTCGCTCGCGAAGGCGAATCCGGAAGCAAAAAGGTTCCTTTGTGCGGCGCGGCTATGTATAGTCGGCTCGCGCGACTAATGGACGCAGCTTTTTCGGATTCTGCAGCGTTGCATAACCGCGGCCTCGGCACGGCGAGAGCGAGTGGTAAATCGATGAGCTTGCGGGACAGGGAGAGAGAAGTAGGGGAGCGAGGGCACTTCCTTGCGCGAACCCGGAAGCCGGAAGCGACGGGCTGGCAGACAGGCAGGGGAGAGCGATAAGTCTCCCCCGTTGGCGAGCACGCGCGCGAAAGAGAGAGAGAGAGAGAGAGCGAGGAGAGGAGAGCGGCTTGGAAATTTTCCGATCGATGCTGTGCGCCTCCGCTCGCGGCTGTTTTTCGCTCGTTAACGGTATACACACTCGAGACTCGGCGCTCCGCCGAGAAGTCGGCGAGATAGCGCGAGCGAGTCGAGAAAGACGTCGGGCGGAGAGCGGCGGGAAGAGGAGGAGGAGGAAGAGCCGCGGGAGGAGGAGGAGGAGGAGGAGAGGCGGCAGAATCGACGGGAGACGGAGGAGAGAACCGGTCGGTATCCGGACCGGAAGCGAGCGTCCTTCGCGAGTTAACCAGCGCTGCTCTCCGCCTGGCTCTCGCTCGCGCGGAGGACGTTCCCTCCGCGGCAAACCGAGCAAAAGGACGGCATCCGGTCCGAAGAATGCTCGCCTTTCTCCGCGGCGCGCTTTTTGTCGCGGACCGCGAGCGGCGCGGCGACGGGAGCGGCGCAAGGCTCGCCCACGGATTCGCGCGCGCCAGCGCGTCCGAAATACATCGGCGCGCGAATTGGCAGTGGCCGGGCCTCCCCAAATCGGGCGCCAGCTTCCCCGCCGGAGTCTCGCCGCGCGCGAGGAAGTGACGGGCCGTTTGGCAGGTGCGCAAATAATACGCGCCGTAATAATAGCGCCGGCCTGCCTCCGCGTGAGCGACGCGCGGCGAGAAATAGAGCGCTGGCCGGAAAGCTCTCTCGACTCGAATAGCTCTCTCGCGGCCGTCGTCGCCGTCGCCGCCGCCGCCGCCGCCACGTTCCTGCGCTCCTCCGCGCGCCGCATCTCCCGTCGTCGCCGATTGTTATCTGTCGGCTGCGGCGCGCTTCCACGAAGCAAGTGGTCGATATTCGGCGCGCCCGATTATAAATATCCCCGGGCTATATATCGAGCGGGAGCGAGTCGCGCGCGTCAGAGCGACGGGGCAGCGCAGCGGATAAATATAAAGCGCTTCCTCGGCGCGCTTTTATTTCTGTCGGAAGCCGCGTCGTCGTGGTCGTCGTCGTGGTCGTCGCGCTGCATTCCTGCGCGCGGAAAAACCGCGGGTTATTTGCGACGCGCGCCCCTCGGCGGGTTTCGCCGAAAACCGACGGCGCGGAGCCCCGATGCGCACAATGGCACGGCCAGGAGAGCGCGACAAGTGCCCGATAATGGAATCGAGTTAACGAGTCAATGACTCATCTTATCGGCTTTCGAAAGCCGTTGCGAAACGCACTCGGCGATCGGCTGCGCCGCGAGAACCGTCGGCGACATCCGCAGCGCCGAAACCCGCCATTGTTTTCGGGACGAAGAGCGGAGCCGTGGGCAGTGGGCTATCGGTGATCGAGCGCGCGCGCGCGGTCTTTGTGCGAGTGCCGTTGCGGTGCGTCCCTTTAAAAGAGAAAGGAGGCGGCGCGCAGCATTTGATTAGGTCGAGAGAAAGAGAGAGAGCGAGCATCGGCTGCGGCGCGACTGCCAGCGCGTCGGAGAGCATCGACGGGGCCTGGACGCTGCTAGAGATGCGCGAGCCGCCTCTTCTCCTATCTGCCGATTCCGAACAGGTTTCCGCCGCGCCGAGGGATTAATCTTTCTCCGGCACTGCTTTTCTTTTTCTCACGCTGCCACGGCGCACCGCACGACGATACGTCGGCTCTGAATTATCCCGCATTTCCTGCCCCAGAGACTCTTCCGAGTATAACGACCGTGCGGCAGCAGGTTGTCGAGTGGCTTTTTTTTCTCCCGCCCCTTCTTCGCCTTCGTCGTCTTCTTCTTCTTCTTCTTCTTCTTCTTCGTCTTCGCCTTCGTCTTCGTCGTCGCCGAGTGCTTCGAGTGGCGATGACGACGCGCGGCGCGGCAAGTGATTTGGGCGGCGCAGGGGGTGCTCGACGATGTTCGTGCTCTGGGAGCAGCGGCGAAGAGCAGGTGTCGATCGCGCGAGCCTCGACACGCCTCTCGTGATAAACGCCGTTCCCTCGGCGTTTTCCTTTTGCGCGCCACAGGTGAGTCGGCGGAAACGCGCGACGTAGACAGATCGTAAGTGGAGACTCGATTTACGTATGCTAATCAGGCGCGATGGTGGAGGGGGTGGGGGGGGGGGGGGGGGGGGGGGGAAAGAGAGCCGCTGCTTCGGCTCGCAATTGCGCCGACGGTTTCGCTCATCAGCATAAGGTTTTTGTCGCGACGCGTTACGCAAGCGCACGACTTCCGCGTTCGGCGCAAAGTTCAATTAGCGGCGAGCGCCGGCGGGGACTCTCTCGGCCGCGAGGATTCAAGAGCCGCGCGACGCTTCTCTCTCTCTCTCTCTCTCTCTCGTCGCAGTCGAGACAAAAGCTCTCGGCCAAGTAGGAGTGTCCGTTCCGGGAAAGATTCCCTCGTTAATCCCGAGCCGCGGCGGCGTCCCGCTCGGCCGACTTCCGCGTTCCTCGATCGGACGCCCGTGCCGTTGTTGTGGCGCGTTCGCGGAAAATTAGACGACGAGCTAATCCTTTCTCCTCCCTCGTAGTTGCGCGCGCGCGCGAGCGAGCGACGCGAGAGAGATAGAGAGAGAAAGAGAGAGCAACAAGTTGCGCCGACTCGCCGCGCTGATCGATTCGCCCGTGGAATCTGGCGTCGCGATCTGATAAAGGAGCGAGGAGGGCAGCGGGCGAGCAAAAAGCAAAGGGAGATTTCGACACGCACGAAGCCTCGTTTTTGTCGATGGGTTCGCAGACAAAAGCCCAGCGAGCCGGAGCCTCTTCGAGCCTCTTCCGAGAAGCGTGGAAAGTGAGAATCGGGGAGGAAGGAGAGCGAAGAAGGAGCAGACGCAGAAGAAGAAGAAGAAGAGGCAGAAGGAGCAGAAGAGGACAGGTCCTTTTGAGAGCTGCGATGCGGGAGAAAGAAAAGGGAGTCAAAACCTCAGAGAGTTGGAAGAAAGGAGCCACTTAAGTCCCGCACCAGTGGACCAGGCGAGAGAGAGAGAGAGAGAGAGAGAGAGAGAGAGAGAGAGAGAGAGAGAGGAGCAGCGCGGCAGAGCGCAATAGCCGAAGCGTTCCCATGACGAGGCAGTTGGAGTGACGAGGGTGAGGGCCTTTTTATCGACTTCCGGTCGGCCGCTGCACGTGCACGCAGCGGCCTCAGCCTCCGGCCAGCCGCGAGAGCAGCAGTGGCTCTCAACCGCCGCCGAGGCCGTCGCCATGGCCCACGACGCTGCCTTCCGCGAAGGCGGCGCTCCTCTTCCATAACTGTACCTGCAACGGCGGCGGCGACAAGTGTCCAGGAAACTCGGCTCGCTGCCGCGTTGTACCGCTAGGGTGTAAATACACATAGCCTCTCCGCTTCCTTGTACGCGAGGTCTGCGCCGCGACGCGCCCGCAGGTGAATGTGGGTCAGCGCGCGAGCGCCCGAGGCTGGCTGGGCTCCGCGCGACCGATTGCGCAACGGAAGCCGCGATCGGGTCCGATCGCTCCGCTCAGCGCCGCGGAAGATCGGCGCCGAAGATACGGCGGCGGTGGCGGCGGCGGCGGCGGCGGCGGCACGCGCGATATAGGCAAGGCTGCGCCGCGCGGAGAAGCTGACGTAAGCAACGCGGAAGCGGACACTTGGACTGCCGCGAGCGATCGCCAACTCGCGCGCTGTTCCCTCGCGCGAAGGTTGCGCGCGCCAGCGCGGCCAGAATCGGAGCTGCAGACGCCGATAACAGTTCCGGACACCAGACTCGTTGATAAGCACGCGCGCATTTTTGCTCTCTCTCCCCCTTGGAGCGTTGAAAAACGCAATCTTTTCCTGCCACCGCCTGCTGTTCCTGCTGCTCTCTGTCTCTCCGCATGTCGAAATCCGACGATAAACTCGGAGACGAGGCACTTATCAGCTGCTCTCGCCTGCTCCCGTTTCTCCGCGCGGCGTTCGCTTGTTTTTTCTGTGCCGACTAGTGCCGCGACGACAATGTACGCTGCATAGATTGCTCGCTTCTCTCTCTCTCTCTCTCTCTCTCTCTGTTGTTCTCTCTTCTCCGAGTTAGAGAGAGAAACTGTTATCGACGCCGCAGCGAGAGAAAAAAAGTCGTGGAGCGGCGACCTTGATTTGGTCGGCGAACTCGTGTGTGAGAAGGCCCCGCGGATATACCTGCCTCTCTCTTTCTCTCTCTCTCTCTCTCTCTCTCTCTCTCGTACGCATTCCTCCAGGCTGCTTCTTATTTTTTTCGCTGGCTTGCGTCACGCGCCTCGGCATATAGGAAACGGCGTCGGATTTTTCCTTTTACTTTTCCGTCTGTCCTGCATTAATGAGGCGATCGCCGTCGCGTCTTCGTCGAGGCGGCTCGTAAATGTACAACAGGCCGGCTGACGCGGCAACCGTCGGCTCTCTCGTGCACCCGCACGAGGAGGAAAACAAAGGAGAAGGCACGGGCGCCAAATCGATAATCCCGAAGCGCGCGGACTTTCTCCGCTATTGCGGCGGCGTTCGATCGCGGGCTTGCGGGGCCCGATTCCCTGCGCGCATAATCGACGCCGTAACGCGGCGCCGCGACCGTTACGCGTCGCGTCCACTCGCGTAACGAGACACGCGCGATATCCTCGCTCGCGTGTAACGCCTCTCTCTCTCGCTCTCGCTCTCTCTCTCTCTCTCTCTCTCTCTCTCTCTCTCTCTCTCTCTCTCTCTCTCTCTCTCTCTCTCTCTCTCTCTCTCTCTCTCTCTCTCTCTCTCTCTCTCTCTCTCTCTCTCTCTCTCTCTCTCTCTCTCTCTCTCTCTCTCTCTCTCTCTCTCTCTCTCTCTCTCTCTCTCTCTCTCGTCCGCCGAGTTCTTCGCGATCGTCGCGCGCACTTGGCGGGCAAGAAGCGAAATCGAGCGCGATTCCGGCTGGTCGGCCGCTCGAGAGCGGCTTCCGCGTGCCCTTGAGCGCGCGCTCCCGGTAGCCTTTTTGCAGCGGCGGCACTTGTCGATCGGAGACGGAAAGGAGGATCGCGCCGAGCTCCCGCCCCTGGCTGAGCGCGCGCCGAGAAAGGGTTAGCGCGTCTTATACAATCGGTCGTCGCGACGCCGAATCCCCGATGAGCTCGCTTCTCCGCCGCGCGCTCCTTATCGCGGACTTTCGGTGCTCGTGCGTGGACGCCTCGATTGGATAATCGCGCTCGGTCGCGCTTTACGTAAATCAAGAACGCCGCGTCGCTCTTTCTCTTTCTCGCCGTTTTTTTTCTTCGTTTTTTTTTTTTCGGCGATCGCGCAATACTCGCGGCTTTAATTGCAGGGATGCCGTTTCGGGGGATTATATCACGGCGACGTAACGAGCGCTCTCGGAAGCCGGTTATTAACGAGCGACCGGAGCGGCGTCGAGTCGCGACTGGAGAAGTGCAGCGCGCGGAGGTCGGTGGCGCGCGTGCACGGCGGAAGTTCCGCTTCCGCGCGCTGGCCTCCAAGACTCGGGCTGCGTTTCCCGTTTCCTCCTGCCGACGGAACGACCTGCGAACAATGCGATAGGCGCGTGTCACAAGCCGCTGCCGCTCGACGACCACGACGACGCTGCTCCGTTTTACAAATCTCGGGGCGTTTCCGGGCCCCGAGACTTTCACCTCGCAGCCCAAAGCTGCTGCACGACGAACAAAGAGAGTCGCGAGCGCGCGGGCACTCGCTTGCAAAAGACAGACTCGCGGCTCCGTTTGGTATTCCGCTGCAGTTCGGCCGCCTCGGCGACCGAGAGCGCGAGCGAGATTGCGCAACGCGCGCGCACGGCTATCGAGCGCTTGCTCGGCGAGAGCGAAGGTTGAGTCGTGCGTGTGCATCGGAAGAAGAAAAGTGGCGGGCGATTGCGTCAGAGCGGAGCTGCCGGGGATTACGATAGGCACAACTGGCGCGTAACTTTCGCGGTGTGGAAAGAGCTGGCGCTCGCTCGACGGCGACCGCGAGCCCTTGCGAAACGGAGCGCGCTAGAAAGCCCACCTGTGGCTGTGCTGCTGCTGCTGCTGCTGCCACCACCACTTCCTCCGAGGCGCAGTTTCCGCGCGCGATAAGGCCCGCTTCATAATCGAACGCCGGCGAAAAGCGCGAGCATGGATTTCCGGCCGCGCGAGCCGAAGCCGCGTGGGAAAGAGCCGAGAGAGCTGAAAGAGCGGTCTCGAGTACACACACGCATCGCTCGCTCTCTCTCGGCCGAGCACAGCCGAGCGCGCGGCCTCTTATCGGCTAATGGATTTCGACCGGCGGCGTTTCCTCTCGCAGCGTCGCCGCCGCCGCCGCCGCTGCCACCGCCGCCGCTTTCTCGCTCGCGCGTCCATGCGTGTGCGCGCGAGTCGGCGAACGGAAGTGTCGCACCTCCGTGCAAACGCCGCCGGCGTCTTTGCGCCCGCAGCCGGAACACCAGCGCTACAGCGGCCCCCGGGCGTGCTCTCTGTTGCAGCCGCCCGCTAGACGGAGCAGCAGCAACCGCCGTCGCCACCGCCGCCGCCGCTGCCGCCGCCAGTCGCCCAGCAGCCCCGAGCGAGACAGCGCCCAAGCCGCCGGCGAGCGCCGTGTTATGAAATTGCTGTCAAACATCCAGCTGCCGCAGCTACCGCCGGTCTCCGCGGCCAGCAGCGGCATGGCGGGCATGGACTCGCGCATCCCGCCGGGCATCTCGCTGCCCTTCAGCCCCACCGACCTGCTCTGGCGCTACGGCCCGGCCATGACCTTCTCGCCTACGGCCCACCCGCCGCCCAGTCCGCTGCTCGACTTCAAGACGCACCTACCCAGCACGCTCGGTGAGTAGCCCGGTCCGTCCGGCGCCCGCCCCGTACTTGGGCGCAGCCGCTCATCCACGGCCCTCTGATTGCCTTGCAGCGTCCGACCCGAGGCTGTGGTCCCGCGAGGACGTGGCGCAGTTCCTGCGCTGGGCCGAGCGCGAGTTCGACCTGCCCAAGTTCGACATGGACGTGTTCCAGATGAACGGCAAGGCGCTCTGCCTGCTGACCAAGAGCGACCTTGGCGAGCGCTGCCCCGGCGCCGGCGACGTACTGCACAACGTGCTCAACATGCTGGCGCGCGACTTCAGCCAGCTGCAGCGCTGCCTGCCGGGCTCGCCGGTCACGCCGACGCGGCCGTCGGCCGCCTACCCGCTCAGCCCGCACTCGCACCCGCCCACGCCCACCTGGGTCGAGAGCCCCTACGCCGCCAACCTGGCCTCGCTCATGTCGGCCAACTCGGTCACGCTGTCGCCGGCGCCCTCGGTCGACAGCCAGGCCGGCTCGCCCGGCCACGCGTCCGCCGACAACAACCACAACCAGCTGTTCAAGGGCAGCGCCGAGTCCGACGAGGACAACCAGCACAGCGGCTCCGGGGGCAGCAGCGGCAGCCCGCCCGCCACGCCCACCGCCCTCGCGGCCCAGCGCCTCAGCGAGGTCTGCGTCAAGGACCAGCTCAGTCCCACGCTGCCGGCCTCGCACCAGATGATGCCGCTCACGCCCGGCGCCTTCAGGCCCGCCTCCGCCTCCGCGGCCAGCGGCGCGCGCGAGTTCTTCCCCAGCGACTCGCCCGAGCCCAATACCAGTGAGTGCCGCCCCGAGCCGCTCCCGCCCTCGCCCCGAACCCAGCCCCCTCTAACTCGGCGCCTGTCCACAGACGGTCGGCTGCTCTGGGACTTCCTGCAGCAGCTGCTCAACGACCCGTCGCAGCGCTACACACACTACATCGCTTGGAAAGACCGGGAGACCGGCGTCTTCAAGATCGTCGACCCGCCGGGCCTCGCGCGCCTCTGGGGCATCCAGAAAAACCACCTGTCCATGAACTACGACAAGATGAGCCGAGCCCTGCGCTACTACTACCGCGTCAACATACTCAGGAAGGTCCAGGGCGAGCGCCACTGCTACCAGTGAGTATCGCCGCGGCGAGCGCGGCGCCGGCGCTGCCACTCCCACTCCGTGCCTCACTCTCTTCTTCTCTGCTCTCCGCCCCAGGTTCCTGCGCAACCCCACCGAGCTCAAGAACATCAAGAACATATCGCTGCTGCGCCAGCAGATCAAGTCCTCGGAGATCCGGATCAAGTCCGAGCTCGACGAGGAGGCCCTGCTCGCCGGCGGCAGCGCCATGGAGCCCGAGATCGACATGCCCACGGATCTGTCCATGTCGAGCATGAACGCCCCCCCGTCCGCGGACCCGCTCGGCCCGCCGGCGCACCCGCAGCCGCTGCCGCTCAGCGACCCGCCGCTCAAGTATAGGAGCCACGCCTACAGCATGATGAAGGCCGAGCAGCAGGACCGAGCTGAGGAGAGGAAGTGACGCGGTGCCTGAGACGCAGCCGCCTTCTCCGACGTTGCTCACCTCGCCGCCGTCGATTGACTCTCCAGGGCCGGCTCGACGAACCGAGTGCCCCCGTGAGACGACGCAGTCATTGTGACGCTGCAGCCTCCTGCCGGCGGAGCCCGATGCTCGACCAGCGAGACACGCAGACGTAGATGCGCAAAGAACAAGATTTAGACACAGACAGAGAGAAGAGAGAGCAGAAGTGCACGTCTTCTGCCTACTTTCTTCGATTCGCTCGTCGTTTCTTTTTTCTTTTTTTCTTGTTTTCCCTTTCTTTGCGTTTTTCTTTTTTTTTTTTGTAACTACTTTCTTTCACGTTTGTTCATTCGTTTGACGACAACGTGTCTCCTCGAATCGTCGCGTTGCAACGAGGAGGACCAAAGTGCAATGCTCGCTTGAGAGACTTGTCTACAAGTCAAGCAAGGATAATCACGAATTCTTCCATTACCAAGTACAACGCTATTAAAAGCATATGCAAGCCACTCAATCAAGCGCTCTGTGTGTGCGAGTGTTTTTTTTTTTTTATTATTATTTTTGTTGCGACCCCCTCGTGGAACGAGAGAGACTGGAGCCTGATACAACTACCACACTACTAAAGCCACACACTGAAGAAGAAAAAGAAGAAGAAGATGATGAAGAAGAAGATGAAGAAGCTGAAGATGAAGAAGCAGCACCCAGTGCGGAAGGGAAAAGAAGAAATGCAACCGGTTGGTGCTTCACTCACGCGTTTTTTTTTTGACTGCTGCCATCGTCGGAATATAATACGCCGAGTACAAGTGTAGAACCTTTCGCTACAACGAACCGCAAGTCAACAATATGTACAACACGTGGAGAGCTGCTGTTGCGCGACCGACACACGCGCTCACCAAGTGTCCAGCGTATTTTGTTCTTCGGAGAGAGTCGAGACTTTGGTTTAATAGTTTTTCTTACGACTTTTTTTTTCTTTTTATTTTGTATTTTCTATTAATTTCTTCTCTTTATTTGTTGATATTTTTTAATTATTTTTTCGTTGTCACAGGAAAAACAACACACGAAAGTGTTTGTGTTACCGGCAACGAGAGATTCAGCCATTGTTCGCGTTATAAATTATTGATTATCTGCTCATTGATTTGCTGTGCGCCAACTCGCCAACGCTGCAATGAGACAGACAGAGAAAAACATTGTACAGTGGGTCGAGTTCAAGCGATAGCGCGTGTGATTGGGTTAGCATGGGTGATATTACGTAGATTATAGTAAAAGTATAGTAAAAAAAATGAATCATTTGTGTGCCAAGAACAATAAATTGTTGTTATTGTAAGACGTGTACGACGACGGAAAATTTTCAACTTCGGTCTCCGATCAATGGTGCGAATTTTCAACGGACGAGACAAACCACATGCGTGTCTACATTGTAATCGATTATACTCTTATAGAAATTCGTAAGTTGTACATAAGTTACTTGCTATAGGGCAGAGATGAAGGAAAGCTAAAAGGATATCTATCGTACGGAGAAAAAATAGAAGGAATTTATGGAAATTTGGGGCCAGAGTTATACATAAATTTATACATATATAAATATATATAAAGTAAACATGATATATATTTTACTACCAAAATTTATATTCGAAATTTCTACGTCGTTACTGGGTGTGCGATAATGTGGCTTACATTCCACGACCAGGCTTTTGCACTGGCTCGACCAACTATTTCGGTGCAAACAAATTTATAGATTACCCGCGTTAGTGGCAATTCAGAGTAATAATACATTTTCAATGTAATTATGTATTGTATTTTTTCACGGATTTTGATAATTTTCTTAAAGAAAAAAAATTAACTGTGAAAGTTTGTACAAAGTTTCTTTATGCTTTGTAGAAGAGGTCTACAAATTCATGTTGTCATAGATAGATGTTTATTTAAAGGCCAAATATGAATTTTCTATGCTTGGAATTGTAAATTATGAGATAAATTTGATGAAAGCCATTTTCTTTTTATCGAGAAAACTTCATTGCTTAAATTGTGATAAGCAAAAACTATTATTTTTATTCACACAAAACAATAGGCTTCGCGTAATCGTCTATGGAAAATTCTTATTGAGAGGCTTAAGTGATTTACTGGAGAATTGAAAATTGTATCTGGCTACTTGTGTACTGTGATCTCTGTAAGCTAAAATCTGCGAATATGTATATAATTAGATTGGATCGGAACAGATGTTAATTGAAAAAATAAATAATTGTATACCTTTTCAAGAGAAAAAAGAAATTAAAGTTGTGAATCGAATAAGATACGACACACACATGCACTTGCGTGTATGCTTATAAAAGTTACTTTCAGTTCTTGTTTGCAAAGTGTAAATAATTTATACTCGAGAATCGGTGTACAAGGAAAGCACTACTGGCATATATTATAGATCTTAGGTATGATAATGTTTACCCTAAAAGGGTGAATGCGGTGAAAAGAGTTTATATTGACTAAACATAAGTGAGAAAAGTGTATAAAAAATATAATGCCTGTAAAATTTTAGAATTAGAATCATTTTATTATATTATATAAATTGTTACTGAAAAATTACTAGATAAAAATGTTGTAAATATAGACTTATTTACTTATTAAGATTACCCACGACTTTATTATTTCTACCTAGGTCTAATTATTGGTAAATGTCGTAAACGAAACAATCTTTTTTAGCAAAGTATTTTTGTTAAAAAAAATGTTTATTGAACATAATTACATATTTACACAACTACTGGAAAAATACAATATCATCTGCTATAACTGATGTTGTAGTTTTTGCATTTCCTTCTTCATCTCTGATTTCTCCATAACTTAATCTACCATTGATCAAAACACGCTGACCTTTTCTTAAATAATTATAAACAGTCTCTCGCAATGTTGGTTTGAACACACATATCCTGTGCCAGTCGGTTTTCTGCATCAGATCCCCTGTAGCAGCATTAAAAATCAATTTACTCTTTTTTAATGTAAATAAATAATATTTTTAATTAAAACTTACCACCATCATATCTGTAGTTGATGTGAGTTGCAAGGGAAAATACCACTACTGGATGCTCTTCATTGCCACGCTTCTGAGGTTCAGCACCTACTCTTCCAAGAAGGGTAACTTGATTTATTGCTGTAATAAAATTTACAAGTTACATAGGAGATAAACTACCACAACAGAATTGTATTTATGCACTCAAACAACACATTTTCCAAAAAAAACTACTACTGTAAACTAAAATCAAATTTTATGATATTGTTAAATAAAAAGTGCAATTTATATATACATTTTTTATGACAATTTGAATTTTTATGACTCTCTTGACCAACTTAATAGATCTGATTACGTTTAATGCTAAGATATGTTTTGTTTGCAACAACTCTGTTAACATACTTCGAACGTTAATTTCAACAATAGATAACTTTTACTTTGTAGTAAATTTTATAGTAGTTATCTTTTGTTTACGAAAAGTTTTGCTACATTAAAACAATAAAGTAAAATTCACAGTCATCAAGAACTTACTTTTTTCAATTTTACTGGAATCATTGTTCATTGCTCGGACAGCAACAGCATTAATTAATCGAGTTTGTTTACAGGTACTGGTGAAAATCTAATATCAATTAATATTCCATAACCTCAATTCACTAATTTCAATGTAAACCAATATCTTATGGTAACTATAAAGATTAAGCATTTATTTGTCTTACCTTGTTTAACAACATCTTTTATGAAAAATATAATTATAATCAATTATAAAGAAATCAAAATATTAATTTTGAAATAAATTTACAAAGAAAAAGGCGCGTACTACACTTTGGTCGCTTTTACAAAAGGTTTTCGATTTTTTTGTTTGCCGTCTGTCGGCAAAATGGGAGGGATGAACAGAACTTTCGATACATTTGACAACTTCAGAGTTCCAAGTTACCGGCTGCGGTAGACGGCTGTATTATATATTGTGCAACGGATTCAGTGAATATATTTACACCCTCGTATATAATACGTACGTGCTTTTCAAACAAAAATATAACAATGAATGTATCAAGTGCAGATGAAAATAAGAAATGCGAGGAAGACAAACGTCCTGCGTGTCGATACTGGAGAAACTGTTATCAAAAAAACGCCGGACATCGGCGAAAATTCAGACACCCATCTCCTGATGTATAATAATAAACAATCATAACCTTAACAATTCACATAAACTTATTAATTTATAGAATGTCTTTTTAGTTGCAGAATGACAATAAAGTATCAGAACCAGCAACGAAAAAAAAAAAAATTCAACGTGATGAAGATTCAACTGTTAAAGACACACCACAGACTAAAAAACAGTCTGCATCTACAGAAGAGATTCAAAAGACTGTTAAAGTTGAGAATTCCATTGTAGAAAAAACAGATAAAGACTCAAATTCCAATAACGAAAAAACTGAAAAATGTTTAGATTCTAGTAAAGAACAAATTAATGCAATAGTTAAAACTCCTAAGGTCGAACCAAGCCCTCCGAATGCAGATGTAAGTTCTAACAATAGTATTGAAGATGATAATGATGAAGATCTGCATAGTGAATCTGCAAAACTGATTCGCCAAATATTTCTTGTTAATATGCCTCAAGATTTTTATAAATTTTATGACTTTTGTACTGAAATAAAGTCAAGTGATCCTACTACTGCACTAAAAATAGCTGATCTTAAATTAGTTGGACCATATGATGTATTATCAGGTGAAATTACAGCAAAAACACCTAATCAAGAAAAGTTACTAGTACACTGGAGATATTATTATGATCCTCCAGAGTTCCAGGTAACTATTACTACTTCACGACAATTTTAGTCAGAATAAATTTAATATGTAACTATATTTTTGGCAGACAATTGTAAAAGGAAATGATAGAGAAGGTTTACATTTTGGTTACTGGAGAGACAGGCCTAGTTCAGATCCTGTTTTTGTTGCGACGAATTGTTCAAACGTTAGTCACAAAATCAAACCTCTAGCTGAAAATATTTTTGGTGCTACAGTGTAAGTTAATTGATAATTAATTTTTCATCTATATTGTATTGGATTTCTGAATCAACTCTTTAGCCATTTATATTGATTTATAATTAATTTTATGTATGCTAGTGAAAGTAAAATCTTATTATACTTTTATAATTGCAGTGCTTACATAGAAGAACGAGCAAAGAAGGCAAATCCTTTTGAAAAAACAAGTTTTTTCAATCTTCTGGGAAAATTAAAAGCTTATACAAAAAAGCACAATATTTCATTAGAAACCTTATCTGCTAAAATGAAATCAAGAGAAAAAAATGTGGTTGCTAGGACAATTCACGGGGCTGGCATTGTATGTCCATATAACAAGAAAACTCAAGTTGGATATAGAGAGCTATCTGTGACTGACAGTGAGTAAACATTTATGATAAAGTATAATGACCCAAAACAATATCTCATAATTTTCAATTAACTCAAACACTTATTTTCAGATCAACTGTTAAAAATAGTTAAAAAAATTGAAGACGCTAAAGACGACATAGAAAGAGCAAGTCCACGAGCAGAACTCAGCGAAGTTATCAGGCTGGCTACCATTGCTGGAGATGAATGTGATTTTGGTACTTGTCTTGAGTTAGGGCACGATTTACTAAGTACTGGCTGTGCACATGTTCAGAATGCTGCTTTAGCAGTGTTGTCTATAGCTTACTCACAACTTGAACGAACCGAATTTTTAACGATCGTTGAAGCGCATATGAAAGACAGAAAAAAAAGCAGTAATTGTAGTGCGCTCCAATCTCGAAAATCGATTGAATCATTATCCTGAAGTATTTATAATACAAGTAATTTTACTGTAAGCTTTATAAACATTGTATCGTTTTAATTTAATAAAAGTGAACTTTTCACATACTTCTTTTGTTTAACATAGTTAGTTTTCGATATTCTTGTATATTTTTATTAACAATGCACGTTATAAAAGCATTTCTATTCAATAATCATCAATAGATATATATGAATAAAACATTAACTGTGATCATTCAAGGTGATTGAACTTCCAAAGTTCGAGACTCGCTGATATAGCGTGTTTGATTATCCATAAAAGAGGTAATGAAAAAACTGATACGATTATCGTCTATCAGTTTTTCCCGTTCCTCGCTTGCCAGAAAAGAGATGTTTTGGCATCTTGTTGCCAATAAACCTATCAGCTTCTCCTTTCAGACCTTTCTTAGCTACCTTCTTTTTAATGGCCTTGTGTGCAATATTTTTAAGTTTACTCTTCATCTGAAACAGAAATATATATAAGTTTTGATCTGCGAATGAGAGCGTACAATAAATAATAAATTTAATAAGTTGTAAATTTACTCACAATAGGATCTTTAACGCCCAAATCGTTTCTAGTTTGCCTAAAACAGCTTCGAGCTCGTGATATCGACCGTTGGCAATGCTTCTTATGATCGGCAGTTAGCGATAACGATCGGCTTCGTTTTCTCGTTCTGACAAAATGTGCCTGTGTATAATTAAAAAAATTAGCGAGTTTTTCTGAATATTACTCGAAAATAAGCAATAACTCTGCATTTTACATTTTCTGTGTCTTCCATGTCCACACCAAGTTCTTTCATTTGATTTCTGAGACTTGTGACCGAACGATCGCGGGATCTTGCAGTAGCTGTTCTAGGAATAACTGGTTTAGTTGACTGTTTATTTACTCTAGATTCATCTTTCATAATAATCTTCTTTTCACGAATTTGTTTGGCAAGCAATTGAACTTCTTTCATGGTTTCTGTTAATTCCGGAACCTTGTAGTCGTAAGCTCCAGCTGCGATTCTTGTTTCCTCTTCTTTTTCCAATGCATTAAGTTTCTGAAAATAATATAGAAGAAAACCTTATCATTCACTGTTTACTTGAAATATTAATAGCCTAAAAGTTAAACAAAAATTTATCATACTTCAAATATTTCAGGATCAATGTAATCTGCAATATTGTGACCCTCCCAAAATTCTGGCGCTTTATCATACTTCTGATCACCTTCAATGTCAAAGTTTTTATTGAGATCCAAAACATAATCATCACCCATTTCTTCTTCAATTTCACGCTCCAATTTTTTCTTTCTTTCGGCTTTAACCGCTCCCAATTTCCTCCTTTGTAGAACACTTTCTGGTATACACGGTGGTCGTGCTTTATTATCTCTTGGTGTTGGTTGAGCAATATGTAGGCGATTAAGAAAGTTCTCGACCTATGGACCAAGAAAATAATTTATTAAACGATTTATAAAAAAAAACACTATTATCTTAGGACATTTGAAATTTTGATTACTTACCTTCTTTGTTTTCATTTTTGCATCAACTCTGAAAGCCAGAAGTTTTTCACAGGCTTGAATTTTGACGTCCATTACTCCAAAATCTGTAACTGTGCTCATCTCAACAACAGGAATATTTTCGTCATTTTCAAGTTCTTTCAAAATATTCCTCTTTTCAATAGGAAGATTTTCCAAACGTAAAACATCGACTTTATTTACTACAATAATCAGAGGCTTATTTTGGAAAAGAGGTTTAATAGATTGAAATAGTCTCATCTGAAAAAACAAATTTAGTAATGTAAATGAGATAAATTAACGCTTAGAAGCATACTTTACCTGTTCATCCAAAGAATGTCCACATTGCTCAGAAATATCAAAAAAATATAGCACAGCAGCTCTCAAATGAGCTAAAGCTGTGACAGCTTGCATCTCAATTACGTTTCTCTCTTCCAAGGGATGATCTAAAATTCCAGGAGTGTCAATCACTTGCCATGTCATGTATTTGTAATCCGTGTGTCCGACGTACAATGATTTTGTAGTGAAAGCATATGGCTGCACTTCAACGTCGGCTCTGGTAATCTTAAAATGAAATCATTATCATTGCCATTTGTAAGTTTATCGTGTGCTTGGGAAAATATATTTAACAAACTCACTTTATTAATGAAGCTACTTTTTCCAACATTTGGAAAACCACAAATGATAATAGTTCTTGTGTAAGGGTCAATACTTGGTAATCTGGCTAAATGCTGTCTAACTTGTTCTAAATATGTTAAATTTGTTGCTTGACGTTTCATAATAGTGGCCATACGACCAAGTGCAGCTTTTTTCAGCTGTTTACATCTGTATAAAGAATCTCCATATTTAAGCAGACGTACATATTCCTTTGCCACACTACAAATGAATTAAAAATATTTATAAAACAGAGTATAATAGAATTGAATTAAATATAAATCTAAACATTTAAATTGTCACCTGTCGATTAAATGTCTTGCTGTATTGATTTGACCTAAAGCCAGTTTGTAGTGGTCCTTGTCATACAAAACATTCATCAAGTCGGCATAAAAAGGATGTACATCGTCGAGCTTTGGGAATTCTTGAATAATTTGGCTCAAACGATCATGAAAAGTTTGCTGTGCAAACTTGACTTTTCTCGTGTAAAAGGCACGAATGCGCGAGATCGCATACTGTTTGTGGATGACAGTTGGTGTCTTGCGTTGCACTTTTGATAGTGTTATGTCGATAAAATCCTGTAGACATCATTGATCAATACATGAATACGACGAGATCGTTGAGATGAGCGTGAAAGTGCCATGTTTTCTCGAAAAGAAAACATTGTAATCGCTATGATCCACGTAACATCTCATGTAATAACCTCAAGCGACTGTTTGAACTCACCTTTGCCGTAGGAACGACAGCGACTTTCTTGAAGTTGTAAAGTGCCATGATGTCTGATTAACTATCCGCTTCATATATAGAGCGATCGAGTGCTTAATGTTTATTTATCGGGCAAATTTAACGAGACAAGCGGCGCACGAGATTCAATCCACGTGCGTACGAGCTCGAGCAAGAAATATCCCGACTGCAGGTAAGGTTAGCACAGCAGTCGACGGCAGAGCCACGTACTACGCGGTGCGGTTAATATAAACTAGCGGATGAAACTCGATCTTTCAGCGGATAAGTAGCACGGTAGGAGTAGAAGACGCGCGTTTGGCAAAGTTATCGCCGAGTTGGTGGTCGGAGAAGCTTGAAAACGCGCAACGAAGCGAAATGCCCAACGTACTTCCGATTGTCGATCAAGAGTACATTATTTTCCAGCTCGCTCGTCAATTCAATAAAACACGGTTGGCCACTCGGAAAGACATATCAATTGGTTCGGACGCGCGGAGCACTCATTGGTGTCGCGTCTACTTTGACGCATCAGACGCACTGGCTGGGCGCGCTCGCGAGTGAAAAGCAGCTTCGGAAACAACCAACGAGCTTCTCGTAGGCAATGCGGTCCACGCGCGCCGGAACCTCAATATTAATCTGGGAGTACAAGCTGCGAGTGCTATTTCTCGATCGAGAGAGGGAGAGAGAGAGAGAGAGAGAGAAGCACTTGGGTAGTCGGAGCCGCGGCGGCACCTGCAGCAGCGGCGGCGGCGAGCGTGTATCTGTTGCGCGCGAAGGAAAGGGGGCGACATGCGCGCGCTGCTCTGCTCCTGGTGCTGATCCGCGCCTGGCAGCAGCTCTGCTGCGCGGCGCCTGACAGTGGAGCGCGCGACACGAGCACGGCGAGTCGTGGACGGCGGGGGAGCTGCGCTGCGATACCACAACTGCCGCGGCGAGGCAGAGAGCCAGAGCGAGCGAGGGGGCGAGAGGGCGGCAGATCGGCGCAGTGCGAGATCGCGACTGGCGCGCGCAAGTGTGTCGGGGATGTGATCGGGGCATCGGCCGCGGCCACGAGTGCGCGATGGAGGACGAGGCGGCCGCGGGTCGGCGCGCCAGCGCGGCGGCCGGCTGACGGCTGCAGCATGCGCTGGCTGCACCCGCGCCCTAGAAGGTTGCCGGGCAGCGCGACCGCGCACCGACCGCGCCGCAAGGCCAGGCTCCGACCAGAGCGCTGCTGAGCCGCGCCAGCCCGCCTTGTCTCGCTCTCCTCCTGCTCCTCCTCGTCGGCAGCCTCCGATCAGCGACTCACCAGCCTGCCAAGGTCAGACACACTCGGCGAACGCCCGCCAATCGGCTCGGCTCTCGACCGATCGCGGACGGCGGATCGGCCACCCCGGCCGCTGCCGGCTGCACTGCGCGCGCGACGAGCTTGCTCCGAGTTCGTCCCGCAAGACCAGTCCAATGCTTTTTTTCTCTGCGGGCTCGAGCAAACAAAGAAACAGGGAACGCTCGTGCTCCAGATGGGAGGCTAAAGCTCGGCATTCTCTCTCTCTTTGTGTGCATCAAACGAACCGGGCGAGCTTGCAAGCTCACGCGAGCACGTATAATCCACGGACGCCTGGCTGTTATCGGGGATAAGTCGTGATTGCGATTGGCCGTTCCGCTCCAGAGAACACAGTGCTTTCCGACGGAAGGGATCGACACGCACGGCGGCGAAAGACTCGCGTCAAAGGTGGCCGGCTATTAAAGTATCGTGCGTTCTCTTCTCTCTCCCTCTCGCTCTCTCTCCCTCTCTCTCTCTCTCTCTCTCTTTCTGCTTTGGGAGCAGGGCTGCGGATGAATCGATCGATCGGCGAGCCTCTCCCTCTCGACTTATTAACGGGAAGCGCGTCTGCGGCCGAGCAAACGTTTTCGACCAGTGGCCTGCCTGCACGAAATATGCGTGAGACAAGCGGCGATAAGAAAGGAGAGCGAGAGAAAGAAAAAGAAGAAGAAGAAGAAGAAATAGCCGCTCCGAGTTTTTTACAGCAGCGATACATCCCCGCGAGAATTACAAGCCCATCGCCTTTGCGCACGCCAGCCGTCGCCTCCACTCGCGAGGCTCGTCTGGATGCTAAGCCAGCGAGAGCCTTAGCCACGATTCGGCAATAAGGCGCGCGGAGCGTTCGCCCTCCGAGCAGAGACACGCGCCAGTAAAATTTCAGTCTCCCGCCGGCCGTAGTTTAATTAAGACGCGCGCACCGCGTCCCACGCATTTAGGCCGCACGCGATCGATCCTCGTGGCTGCGCGTGCGGCAATTATTCCGGCGCCCCTTACGTCCGCGGACCCGATTGTTTGCAGCGCTAAGGCGGAAGAGAGCGAGGTTGAGCTTTTCAATTACGTTAAAAGCCCACTCGAACCGACTCCAGCTTTTCTTTGCCAGCAATTAAGAAGTTGCCCCCCCCCCCCAACCTCTCTCTCTCTTTCTCTCTTTTGCTTCCACTGTGATTTCCGGGGCGGTGAGCGTCGGCCAGCTCGTAAATACGTCCATTAGGGTATTTTATTGCCGGCCAGAGCACCGGGGAGCATCCGTTAGCCGCGCAGCTCACGCGTGTCGCCAGTACCTCCTTCGACGATATGCAGTTGCTTCGATCGCCTCTCTCATTAATCTCGCCAATTCGCCCGTCGACTGATTGTCAGTCGCGATACTCTCCCCGAGCCGACGCTCGCGATTTCCAATTCCAATTAAAATTTCGCGCCTCCGCGAGCAGTCGCGGCTCTATTAATTCAAATGCAATCTCGAGTGTCGCGGGTATCGCGTCGACGGCCAAACGAACCAAAGGTGCGACGAGACGATCGCCGAGGAAGGCGCGACTGCGTCGTGCGATATTCACCGCAGTTGCGCTGCTCTGCTTATCTCCGAAGCCAATGGCAATCGACTGTCCGCGCGCGATTCAGACGTAGAGAGCTCGATAATGGAAGCAGCTGCTGCGGCGACGGCCCCGCTGGATTTTCGTTCTCGTTTCGCTCGATGGTGCACTTGCTCGCCGACACGAGACGAAAACACGAGCCCCCGGGCGCGCAACTCTGTTTTTCTCTCCAAAAGCTACGCGTTCGCTCTTCTTTTTTTCTCTTCTCTTCTGCGCTTTTACGCGCCCGACGACTCCCTTTTATTTCCGCTTAAAGCTTCTGTTTTGCAATGCCGGGAGGCCACGTCCGATAAAAATGACCGCAAACGAATGCCGTTAATTTGCTTTTACGAGGGAAGGCGGTTTTTACGGTTTCACTGCCCGGAATTATTTCGGCGATGGCATGGGATAGACGCTATCGAGCGGGGGACGCAACGTACGGGCATCGAGAAACATTCACCGTCGGAAGTGTTTATTCCGACGAAGGAAAAGCGGGCAAATGCGCTTTCATTTTTTTTTTTTGTCTTTCTGCATCGAACGCTAAACACACACACGCGCGCGCACACAAGTGGACTGACACGGCTCGTGAGCGCAACAGCAAAACGAAGCGCACAAATTGCCGTCGTTTATCATTTTTTCCGCAGCGCGAGTCTTTTATCTCTTTGCCCGGCTGTTCGCGTCGCGCGACGACAGTTGAAAATTTTCAGCGCAGTTGGCTCGAGCGTTTTTTTTCCTCCTGGCGCGTCCGCGGGCCGTCCGTCGCAGAGGCCGCACGCGCGCGGAAGAGAGCGCGGGGGGAGGGGGCAAACGAGAAAATTGCGCGAGGTCACGCCGAAGAGATGCGCGCGAACACTCGACGAACAATGCTCGGCTAAATACCCTTCAGTCTCTCGTTTCGTTGCCATTGAGTCTCCCGACGTTCAGGATTCTTTTCGACTGGCGAACGATGAGCGCCGAGCGCTGGTGGCGGCAGCGATGGATATAATACCCGCGTAGCCGGCGAATCGAGGTCGAGTAACTCTTTCGACGCCTCCGCTCTCTCTCTCTCTCTCCCACCCTAAAGGACAGATATTATCTCGATATCCTCCGTCAAGGAGACTGCGATCGGACGCCGCGATCGTTCTCCCTGCCACTACTATTCTTTTTCTTTTTTTTTTAACGAGAGCTCGTCGTTTATTTCTACTTCTCTCCGCTGCCAACGTCAAATCGCCGCGCACGAGTGGAGAGAAAGCTCGTTATAACTTTTCCCGATCGGCTGAGCTTGGAAATTCAAAGCGGTTTATTTAATTTTTTTTCGTAACTCCCGGGCCGACGAGCCCAATTACGGCCGCGAAAGCAATGGGAACGCGGGGCGCGCGTTCTTTTCGGGCCACTGTAGCGTCGGTCGGGCTGCGAGCGCAGAGACGTTCGCGGCGCGCGCGACTGAATGAAAGCGACGTACGCGAGGCAGATCCGGCGCTGCTCTTCGCCGCGCGTGTGGGTGTCGCCTACGAGCGGCGCGGGGTATATTAATAAGCGCCACGCGTGTGCGCTGTAAAAATAGAACGGCTCCCGCGGCAGGCCGTATGGATTTTCTTTTTATCGCGCAGCACCTCGTAGCGCTGATTTCAGTATAGGCCACGAGCGGCTTCGCTCGAGTGGATGGCGGCCGCAAGCTGCGCCATCAAACTCGTCGCGCGACTGCGCCTCCGCTGCATTCGGATGCAAGACCAACTTTAACGACTCTCGACGTTAACGAGTTTTATCCTCGTTAGGAGAGAGAGAAAGAAAGAGAGAGTAGCGCTTCGGCCGTCGAGGGGAAGCGTCGCCGTCCGACCCTACTCGGCTCGCGCTACTAGGCGCCGAAGCGACCGCTCTGGTCGGTAAACGGACACGCGCGCTCCGACGCCGTCGGAAGAGCGAGCCAAGCCGCACCCAAGACCCGCGCCACCCCGTCCCGCGGCGCGCCAATTGGTTCTCGCGGGGCGAAACGAGCGTCCGGTTCAATCGACGCCGTGAGCCGACGGGAAGAGTGCCGACGGCACGTTAATATTTCGATTTCGCGCGACGCGTTGGCGGCTCGAACGGAGGACGCGAATAAAACGCAACAGTTTGCCGGGCGTCGAATCACGAGTGGAAAGTTTCCTCGCGTCGCCGCGACGCTCGGCCGTGAGCATTCCATCGGCCGATCGGGCGCTCGAGCGAGACGTTCCGCTGCCAATTGTTCGGTGATCAGCTCGACGGACAGCGCGATGCAATCCGAGCATCGTTGGCACGGGCATTCGGACCGTGCTCTCCGCGTCGAAAGTAGACCGTTAGATCACGCTGGTAATTCCAGATGTTTATTCGAGACTTTGCCGCGCGGTCCGATTCGATTACGAGCCTGGCACGACTACGCGGTCCGAGCGAAGAGCTACGGCCGAAATCAGAGATCGCGCGAAGACCGCGGGAGCGGGGAAGAGGACTGACACTGGCGAATCGCAGAGAGAGAGAGAGAGAGAGACGGTAGCCATCGGCGGCGGAGTCGAGTATTCGTTTCGGCTGCGGCGCTCGACGGCTCGCCATCGATCCCGCGCGCAAAGTAACGTAGCTCTCGTCACGGGGAAGGGGGGGTTAAGGGACGAAAGTAGGCGCCGCCGCCTGTTGCGCAGCGCAGCGCCCAGGTACGGCGAGTGGCGCAACGCGAGAATCCCAGCGCGCCTTGACGGCCAGCCGAACGTCGCTTTTTTCACCATCCGCGCAAATCACGCCAGTTTATTTAGGGGATTTGCCAGATGTAGGACTCGCTGGGTTTGGCAGAGCGCGCTCTCTCTCTCTCTCTCTCTCTCTCTCTCTCTCTCACTCCTCTGTCGTATTTCGGTCGGTCGCGCGCACGCTTGGATCGATAAGTTTTGGTCTATTTTTTTTTTTGTCCTCGTCGTTGGAGCCCTCGCGCTTGGATTTCATTGCGCAACCGTGCGTCGAATCGCGGCACGAGGTCAAAATCGATTCGTCCGCGCGCGTATTATTTCGTCCCCCCTCCCTTCCCCCTCGGGTGTGCTTTTCATCTTCGCAGCGAGGCCTTCGAATCGCACGAAATTACGCAGCGAGCCTTCGCGGGTGGCGCGTACAGCGGCCTCGACAATTAATCCACTGGCGCGCGTCAGACTCGGTTTACAGCCCCGTGCCAAAAATAGTCAGCCGAGTACGAATGCCCGCTCGCAGCGCGAGTCGCGCTCGCGCGATTATCGATCACCGACGAGTATCCAAACCGAATTGGCGCGAAATCGAGGCATAGTCGACCCGCGAGCAGTCAGTTTAGCGCGGGGGGAGCGACGGGGGGGGGGGTGCAAGCGAACGCGATAGCGCGTATACAGTTGCAGCTCCGTGCCAATCGATAATTCTGGCGTCATTGTGCAGCTGCCGCCGCCGCCGCCGCCGCCGCCGTCGAGAAGACCAGCCCATTTATAATGC